ATACAACCAGATCAAAGAATCTAATATATGTCTAGGCAAGGATTATCTGAGAGCATTTTGTCTTTGTCCAAGCTCTATCTACATGGCACATGATAATTAAAAGTACCAGACTGGTCGAACTAACCTTCTTGGATGTGTAACAGCCATAGCATGAGGCCTATACTAATTTGGACAAATGGACATAAAGGACAGTTTTTGCTCCTTTCCCACCTAGGTTGAGTAAGTTCCAGGGGACTATGAGCATCTCTGAAAATATCCTGTAACTCTGGTGAGTCACCTGTCCTCTTGATCAAGGAGGCCATGGAGACCCCACCAGATGGACTTGAACCAGTGTCCAGTCTATAAAGAGGAGAGTCAGCACAGAGGAATCATTTCCTCCATGCTTCCAAGCAAAGCCAACCATCTTCGAGTAGGACCTTTGACTTATCTTCACATAGGCGGAACTGGTAAAAGAAAGGAGCCAGGGGCTCCTCCCAAGCCCTTGTGACCCCTGAGGAACAGATCCTCAAACAACCTTAAGAGTAAAAATAAATTGGTTTATCTGGGCCAATTGTAGGATCTTAAACATCCAAAAGGAAAGTATAACCAAAGATTAATGGAGTCAATATATTTTTTAAAGAGTCCATATGTATAGCTAAAGGCTACATAACAAGAAACAATGCCAGACAGGAGATACCTTCCTTTGAGTTATTGGCCAGGGTGGTCCACAAGACTCCCAGGCAGTAACCCTCATAGAACTGGGAAAATGAACAGCAGACCCCAATCTTATCTAAAGGAATATTGACAACTGATTGCTGCTAGATGAGGAACAGCTGATCTTCCCAAAACAAGGCTCTTCAGGTTGGCTTCCTAGAGTCAGCAGATGGATAAGCACTGGTGAATGCCTGTGGGTGCCAACAACACAGTGAACAGTAACAGGGATGACAGAGTATATGGGCTCCAGTGTGTGGGAGGGGGGAGGCTATGGACGGGTGTCATTTTGGAAGTGGGTATTTAGATGAATAAGATTGTGTGGGATGTTCTGTGTGATATACACACAAAAAATCAACAAATTAATAAAAAGATTTATTTTTGAGAGGAAGCATAAAAATGTACTTCATGTTAAATAGTAGAGGTGATAAAGATTACCAGTGTAATCTACCCTGATGACTTTATATCCATACTCAGGTACTAAGGATCTGAGTGTAACTGACTGTGACTAGTAATAATCAGAATCATAGGGATTAAAGACACATGTGCAAACATCTAAGCGTTAGTTGCATTAAAAATGTAGGAAACAGCATATTTTAAAATGAAATGGAGATCTTGTTTAAAGGGTAAAACTCATCCAATTTTATGTCTTACAGGGTTTATACTGAGTTCAATGTTCTATAACTGTATTAATTCAACTGTGAACCTAAATATTTACAGCCAGTATTGAAAGAGACGCATCTTTGCTCTGGAAATTGTTATTGAACGTGTTAATGCTGTAATGAAATGCTTCTTCTAATCATGTGGTTATTAAATAAATAATTTTTAAAAGGCAATATAGGTGGAAACCTGGGGCTTACAAGTGGTATCCAAAGTAGGGGCAGTGTCATGGGACTGGGTCTTTAACCTGCAGGGCCTGTAGTAGCTCTAGGACTTTGTGTCATAAGTGAATTGTAGTCCAAGCAGCTGATATCTGGAGAATTGAAAAACTGAGTCTTTAGATGGAGGAAACACACTGCATTTGCTCTCAGAAGTAGAAGTAAAAAAGGTCAAGTATGAAAAGACATAGAGATGAATCTGCATGAGTCCTTTAAGATATATATCTACCCCTGTAATTGAGAGTTGGTAAAGGCAGAGGAAAAGCATGAACTTTGGGCTTGGATAAACCCACGTTTGAATGCTGTCTTTCACATAGCCTGGCTGTGTGATCTTCTGCAAGTCATACATTGTGAGCCTCGATTTCCTCATCTCTATTTTTAGACGCAGTTATTGTATTACATGAAATATTATAGGCAGAGATGGATGGGTTGGCTGACTTGAAGGAGTGAGCCATTAAGGTTGCGTTCTTAGCATAGTTGGAAAAGGGACGAATGAAGGTCTGAGGTGGCCCATGGAGAAGCCTTCTTCTTTTGGCACCCAGCTACAGTAGCCTAGTCACTGTCCACCAGATTTCACAAGTCAGAATGGGACGCTTTCAGAGTATTGCACTGCTACAAAATGTAAAACAACTGAATGATGTTTTTACAGTTTAATTGGCAAGCACCTTTGCATACTGATACCCTACAACATGGAAACTGTTTATACAAGTTGTAATTAGCAGGTTTATGAAATCCCTGGTTGCTCACCAGGTCTCCAGTCACACTAATTAGGATATGTAACTGGTGTTGGTTGCCTTAAATACATATTCGTCCTGTCTACAAGCATAGTTTTCTTGACTTTTTTCAATATGGGACAGGTACATAAAAACACTAAAAGAATGCCATGAAATAGGTTGATGTTTTATGAAATTCAAATTCCTAGAAACTTTATAAATGATGTTAAAGCAGTGAAGAGTTTATCTGTGTACATGTGCGTGGCTATTCATAGACTCCTTTTGCCACCTGTTCTGTATTTCACTCCCAAAGGTACTATATGAGACTTGTGTGCAGGGGTTCTTGAAACAATACTGCTGTCATCACAAGAAGTGATACCACACATTACTAGATAAAACCCATTCTCTTCCTATCATGTCAACAGTACTAGGACCTATATTTTCTGTTGTCCTCCAAGCTGTTTCTTTCCTGGGTTGGGCATTACTGTAGATGTAGGATGCTGTGGTTTACCTTCTAGACATTCTGAAACATGTGATTCTGAAGCAAGGGACAGACTCAAACCTGTCTGACTAGCTATGTGACAATAGTCATTATCAAAATCTTTAATGTTAATAATGGTGATGATGTCATGCCTAGAGAAGCAGCAAGCATGTACTACTGAGCATTGAAATAAAGGTAATTATTAGGACTGACTTCAAACCTCTTGGGTGAAAGCCCAGGGAATATTTTTATCATGTGGCAAAGGTGTCTACCCTCCAGTCAACTTGATTATCTGAAATGAAACTCAACATGCAAGTCATTTATAGTAAAAATACTTGCTTTTAAAATATCACATAACTTTCTTAGTTAGGCTCAACTTTTCCAGAGATATAGAGCAAAATAAGTTTTCCTTGTGAGTATACATATGTCCTTACGTGGTTACAGCAGCATTTTGAATTGTGTTTTCTTTTGTTTTATTTTTGGTTGTGAGTCTGAACCTTTTAAGAGCTGTACCAGCTCTCCAGCCCTTTTGTTTTATTTTTATTTATGTGTATATGTATGTGTAGATGCCCTTGGAGGCCAGAAGAGAGTGTTGGATTCCCTGGAGTTGGAGTTACAGGTGGTTCTAAGCCACCTGAAATGGGTGCTGGGAACCACACTCAGGTCCTCTGGAAGAATAGGAAGTGCTCCTAACTACAGAGTTATTCCCCCAGCCACTAAATTTTTTTTTAATCATGTGTATCTGTGTGTGGGTATGTGCACGTGAGTATGTGGGATCCCTAGAAGTTGAAGTTATTACAAGCAGTTGTGAAGTGCGCAATGTGGGTGCTAAGAACTCAAGTCACCTGGAAGAGCAGTGTATACTCTTGACTGCTGAGCCATCTCTACAGCAATGTATTAAATATGGTATTAGGCAGCTTTCCGCTACTGAACAAACTTGAGATAAATGAACTTACTAAGAGGAAAGATTTAGGGGCTTGAGAGATAGCTCACCCTCAGCTGAGTTCAGTTCCTATCCATAGGGACAGGATTTTCACTGTATAATACATCTCTTGCAATTGAGATGGTAAATATGTTCTGTTTCATTCATTTAAACATAAATACTTACATTTTTGTTGCTGCGATAAAATACCCTGACAAAAGCAATGTGGGGGCTTCTGGAGAGATGGCTCAATGGTTAAGAGCATGTACTGCTTTTTCAGAGGGCTTGAGTTTAGTTCCCAGCACCTGTGTCTGGCAGCTCACAACCTCCTATAACTCTAGCTCTAGGGGATCCGATGCTCTCTTCTGGCCTCCCTGGGCACCTCCACACACATGTACACATCCCCCCTTAGACATGTAGTCAGAAAAATAAAATCTTTTTTTTTTAAAGCAACTTAGGGGAGAAAGGGTTTTTTTGGCTTACCATTCCAGGGTGCAGTCCTGGGGGACATCAAAGCAGGAAGTTGAAGCAGCTGATCACATCCACACTCAAAAGAAGGGAAAAGTGCATTCCTGCCTATGTTCAACTCACCTCCCTTTCTTCCTTTTTAATGCAGTCCAGAACCCAAACTCAGGGAATGGTGCTGCCCACAATGGGTGGATTTTCCTACTTAATGAACATAATCAATACAGTTATACCTTAGACATGCCCATGGGCCAACCTGATCTAGAGGTCCCTCATTGAGAATTTCTTCTCAACTGGACCAGTTGACAATCAAAACTAGCCATCACATAGTCTCTTCTGGAAAATATTTTCAGGTTCTCTCTCTCTCTCTCTCTCTCTCTCTCTCTCTCTCTCTCTCTCTCTCTTTCTCTCTGTGTGGTTTTGGGTTTTGTTTTTTTCCATTTTCATTCACATATGTGGTATATGTTCATGTCCATGTTTGTGTGGGTATGCTCATGTGTGCACATGCATGTGGAGGCCAGAGATCAACAGCAGTTGTCTTCCTTGATTGCTCACCACCTCAGTTTTGAAACAGAGTTTCTCACTGAACCTGGAGCTCACAGACTCAGCTAGACTGGTTGACCCCACCTCCCCCAGCATGGGGGTTACAGACACAGGCCATTACACCTGACTTTTACATGGGTTCTGGGGATCTGATCTCAGGTCCTCATGTTTATGAATGAGGACTGAGCGAATCAACAGAGAGAGGCAGGGACACTGGCACTGAAGTTGTGTCACCACCTTTTAAAGGCATTAGGTGTTCATGAACTCAAATTATTTAATTAATGACCACATAACATTTTGGTTTTAAGTCAAGGAAGAGAATAATGACCCTGCCTTTTGGAGAAGAAAAGATTCTATGAGTCTGAAAGAACCATTTCTCAGGTGAGGATATTGTTTTAACTTGCTAACCAAAACTTATTTTATATTGCAATGTGTGTTTTTTGTTGCATGTATTTCTATATTTTCAGTGCGAGTATATGCATGTACACGCCATGTCATGTGTGTAGAACAGGACACCTTAGGAGAGTTGGTTCTCTCCTTCAACCATGTGGGTTCAGGGCATTGAACTCAGGTCTCAGGCTTTACCTGCTGAGTCATCTCACTGGCCCTTATTTATTTATTTATTTATTTATTTTTAATGCTTTTTTCCCACTAACTGTTTTGGATTCATTCTATGTTTCTCACATATGCAACAATGAAAAAAGAATTTTTAAAGAACTTTCTCCTAAATTCAAATCCAGTTGTTAAAATAATAAAATGTGGTATTTCTCATTGTCATGACATGTCACAATAAAAATGAATAGTTGATTAAAATTAAATTAAAGAACAATTATTGAGTTCAGAGTCTCTGTAGGGCAAAATGTTGGGCCTTGTAATAGTTTTTCTGTTTGTTGTTGTTGCTGTTGTTTTCTTTCTTGAGACAGGATCTCATTTAGTCAAGGTTGGCTTCAAACTCACTATGTAACCAAGGATGACCTTGAACTCCTGATCCTCATGCTTGACCTCCCAAATGTGGATTACAGGCATGAACCACTACACCCATTTTTTTTTTTATGCAGTGGTGCTTGGGATCAAACCCAGTACTTGATGAATGCCAGGCAAGCACTCTACCAACTGGGCTACATCCCAGCCCTGGCCCTATAATGTGTACAAAGGCGAGTAAGTAGTTCTTATCCTTGAAAAGTCTAACCAGGTTTTAGAACATTTGCATTAAAATAACAGAAAGGTAAATATGTTGAGTGCCCTAAATAATTTGAAGCAATTTGTCCTAGAGGTTTAGGGGGAAAGCTTAAATTCAATTGTGGGATGAGGTCAAGATACGTGACTGTTGGTGAAGGGATAGTTCACATGGAGATGGGACGTGAGGGAAAAGAGTAGATTCAGAGACTGAGGAAGATAAGAATAGAACATGGATTAGGGGTATAAGCAGTCCTGTGTGGCATGAAAGTGAAATTGAGCTCATACGTTGGAAGAACATTTTTTAAAAAAAGATTTATTTTTTATTTACATGTATGTATGTACATGTGTTATGTGTTTATGAGCACATGTATGTGGGTGCCAGTGGAGGCCAGAAGAGGGTGTTGGATCCCTCAGGGCTGGAGTTATAGGTGATTGTGAGGTGCCTGGAGTGGGTGCTGAGAACCAACTCCAGTCCTCTATAAAAGCAGAAAGCGCTGGTAACTAGTGAGCCTTCTCTTTCCACCCCTACTTTGGAGGATCTTAAAAGACTCAAGAAAACGGAGGCATGGTGGCACATGCCTTTAGTCCCAGTCCTTGGGAGGCAGAGGCAGGTAGATCTCTGTGAGACTGAGGCCAGCCTAGTCTATATATCCAGTTCCAGACCATCTGGGGTTACAGGGAGACCCTGTCTCTAAACCCCTCTCAGGACCCCCCCAAAAGAAAGAATATTTGGCATTTCATTCATAGGGCTTGAGAAAACCTTTCAACTTTTTGATCAAGACAATGATATGATAGAAATTATACAAAAAAGGGGGGCTGGAGACATGGCTCAGTGGTTGAGAGCACTGACTGCTCTTGCAGAGGACCCAGGTTTGATTCCCAGCACCCACATGGTGGCTAAGAGTCATCTGTAACTCCAGTTCTAGAGGGATCTGATGCCCTCTTCTGACCTCCATGGGCATTGCACAGCATGGGTGCACTTAACACACATGCAGGCAATACACTCATAAAAATAAAAATAATAAATAAAATATTAAAAGGAAATGAAGTCATACAAAAAAAGTAGTAACCTAACAACTGTGCCTAAATTGGAATTGAACTGAAGAAAGATCAAAGGCTGGTGAGAAGTAGTGAGACTTTGATTTAGGGTGGAGAGAGTGAGAAGAAAAGAGGTGGATTTGGAAGACAGATTTCAAAGGTGGAATCCTTAAGATTGACAATGAATTAGAAATTGGAGACAAGAGGGAAGCAGCTGTGGTTTTGAATTGTAATGACTGAGGGTGAAGTCTCACAAGGAAATAAAAATGTTGGGGAAAGTCTAATGAAAGTACTGGGTAGATGGGTTTAACTTGGACCCAGGGGCCTCATCTAGTTGAGATAATCATCTGGCAGATATTTCAGTCTGAAAAGTTGATATAAATTTTTAAAAAAGAGGCCAGCCGTAGTGGTGCATGCCTTTAATCCCAGCACTCTGGAGACAGAGGCAGGTGAATCTCTGTGACATTGAGGCCAGCCTGGTCTGCATAGAAAGTTCCAGACTAGCTGTGGCTACAGGGAGACCCTGTTTCAGAAAACAAGCAACAAACAAAATTTTAAAAGAGATTCCCAGTTTCATAACTTGAAGTGTGATACTATTATACAACACACTATCTAGACATTAGGAACAAGAGGTGAGCATTGGATTCTAAGAGCTGTCTGTCCAGGATATATAAGGATGGGGAAAAATAATGTAAGGTGGAGCCCTGAAAGACAGGTCATCGTGAGGAGAAATTCATATTAGAAAACGTCACAAAATGCTGCACTGAACAAGTGAAAAGTGAACTCCTGACAGAGAGTGTTTCCAGCCCATGGTCTACAGGACCACGCCACAGGGGAGCTCTTCCTCACTGCTCTTTCTCATTTTTTCTCTCACACTGACACACAAAAATCTTTGGGTTATTTTTGCCTGTTGGGAATACATTACTTGTTTGATTAATTGGGTTTGACCTTAAATAATTTATTTGGAGGCTGGGACCTGGGTGCAGTGGTACATGCCTGAAGGCTCAGCTACTTGAGAGGCTGAAGCAGGAGGAGAGACTGAATCCAGGAATTCTAGGCTGGATTGGGCAACACAGTAAGAACACTATATCAATAAAAGTTATTTAGGGGATGGGGGTATGGTTCAGTGGTAAAATGCTTGCCTAGCTTTGACTTTGATAGCCAGCACTGGAGGGAAAACATCAACCTTCCAACCAATCATTTTTGGGGAAAAAAAAGTTGTCTACAGCAACTGTAATTTTCACGAAATTAGAGTATAAGGAATTAGCTCTGAAAAGGCTCTCTGTGTCCCTGTCAGAACTCTCAAGGCTTTTGAGGTTCTGATTATATTTGAAGCTAAAATATCAGAAAAACTTACTGGCTAAGGCAGAGTTGTGTCTTAGGTGTTCTGTTTAGTGTTGCAAACCATAGCTCAAAATGAACACCATGTCCTCTTTAGAATGGTATGTTGGGTCAGGGACTCTAGCCTGTGCAGCTGAATGCCTTCTTCCAGGGTTCCCAGTGCGGTATAGTGGTATTTTGTGGGACACCATTCGTGAGTGGCTCACATGTAGCACATTCAGCTTCTTTGGCTGTGTCCACTAACTGCCAGCAATGCACCTCTTCATAGTGACAACCGAAATTGTCACCATACATTTCTGGTAAACTACCCCGCTGGCTCCAGCTTAGGACCACACTTGTCAAATGATTGATTGTTTCCATTCTGTGCTTTTTTTCTCCTTTTCCTATACATAGGTCCTCTCTCTAGCCTTCCCTAGTAAATACCTTGAGATCCCGGTAAGATTATGTGTTGGGTTTTTGTGGACACCACAGTAGATCTTTGGGGCGACAGTAAGAGGAAACTCATTCACTTAGGCTGTATGCTTATTTGGGGTGGCTCTTTTCCCCTTAGCAGTCATAAATACATTGCTTTTATTTTTATTTTATTTTATTTTATTTTATTTTTTTGAGACAGAGTCTCCCTGTAGCCCCAGCTAGGCTGGAACTCACTAGGCAGTGAGGGCTATTAAGCCCCTTGGCTTCTGCTTTGGGGAACTGCTCTTTCAAGCTGAGTCACCAGTTCCAGTTCTGTATTAATGAAGATGATACTGAAGCGCAGAAGGACCCCAATCATGAATGCTTACTCTTTTTGTTTGTTACAAAAAAGGCACAGCACTTTTAGAAAATTTTATTAGCAATGCTAAGCATCTAAAACAAGACTAGTCAGTTGAATCCAAGAGCCACGTCTTTCAAGGACTTCTGTTTGAGGTTAGGTTGGTTACAGGGACTTGAATTTGCTTTTCAGTAAGCCAGAATCTGGGACATGTACATACCTTCCTAAGATGGGCTTACCACTTGCTAATATATGCTTGGCCGAGCCATGTGAGGAGGCAGCCAGGTCAACTGGAGTATGAAATAAAGCTGACCAGGAGTAACGGCAACAACTCATGACTTTGCAAGCTGGCTGTCGTAAGCTCTCAAGGGCTCTTCCCCAGGCTTTGCGTATTGGCTCAGCAATCTGATTTTGGTGGTTCCCTGCATGATTCTTCTAGCTAGCCACCAAGGCTAGGGAATAACTGCTCTAGATAATCTGCAGTTGTGTTAATCTCTTTGATGTGGCAACTTGTGGGTTCTATACTCAGATCTCTCTCTGTCTCTGTCTCTATCTGGCTCCCCACCCCACCACCCTGAGCTGGGGATGGAACTCAGTATCTTGTGCATGCTAGACATACACCCAACCATTGAGCTACACCTCTAGCTCCAAATTCCCTGTTTCCTTATTGTAGATACCCTGGAACAAGCCCTGATAATCTCTCACCTGCACTGTTGAACACCATAACTACTGTCCCCACCTCCATTCTCATTACTAGTCCTGTTTTCCCTGACTAGTTCCTACCTAAAGCCAAAGCGATCTTTCCATAGTACCTCTTTCTTAAAATCTTTTAAAAAACATTTATTCTATGTGTATGAGTAACTGCATATATGTAAGTGTACCCACGATGAGCAGTGCCCCCGGAGACCAGAAGTGGGCTTGGATCCCCTGGAACTAGAGTTATGGACTGTTGTTAGCTGCTGCCATCTGGATGCTGAGAATCCAATCCAAGTCTTCTGTAAGAACATCAGTACTCTTAACCTCTGAGTCATTTTTCTAACCCTCTTACTTAAAATCTTTTAGTGGCATCTGC